CTGTTTACAGACCTGCTGGTTCAAGCTTAGCCAATGTCCAGGAGGAAGTTGGCTCCAGGCAATCCATTTTTAAAAAATCTTTTTCAATTTTGACATTTCTGTGTTGGCTATTATACAATATTATCACAGCTTTCTTTTTTTTGACTCATACTATCCAGGAGACAATTCTGGAATGAACTTGGACTAGAATTTTACATAGTATCCTGAGTTTCTTAAAGGTTTTGGTTTCTATTTTATATAATCCTTAAAGGTCTTTCCCCTTTTCTTTTGTATCCGTACATGATCTGAACAATTCCACTGCCCTGCTTTGTATTCTTGTAGTTTTCTTAGCCACAAGCAATTACTATAATGAGAAGTGGACATCTTAATCTCATTTGGCAGGTTAAACCTAGGCATAGGTCTAAGCTTTTCTGTTCCACTCGCATTTTGTACTTGGTGTGCTCCTTTGGTTTTGAATATGTCAGTGTTTCTCAAAGTTCTTACCCTGAACTCCTCTCCTTTGCTCTTTCCTGAGAGACGGATTGTTGGGCGCAGGTGCTCAACATACCATACCCCACCCGGGACTAAGGACCACGCCAGCTTCCGCAATGCGCTACGTCCCTCTCCAAATTAGCCACCCCGTGCTCACTTCGTATTCACCACAGCTGAGTATATTAGCCAGAGCCCGCGTCTCATTCCAGCCCTTCCTCCTCGTGGCAGCCTGATTGGCCACAGTCAGATATATAAGCCAGAACCCGCAACAATAAAGTAGGCAGTTCCTGTTACTACCTGAAGCGTCTCCTGTCTCATTGGGGGGGGCTGCGCCGGTCAACTGACTCCCTCTAGAACTACCAACAATGCAAACGATTCAGGAACCAGACACAGTAAAATGGCCGTTGATAGGACAGTAGGAAGCAAAATAGTGGAGAGAGAAGTTGTTTTTGAGTATGCTCATATAAAAGTGGCAAGTACTCTCTGTTACCTTGTAAAATAACCAGGGGCTTATGTACAGCAAATGTGTACTAATGAAAAATAAAACAAAATAACTAAGCATTCTTTATTTCAGCTTTCTCCAAATCCTGGACCTCAAGGAGATTACGCATATATATCACAACTTTTGTAGATGATGCAAAAATTAGTGTTGTGTGTGTGTGATGATAGTGGTTTGGATGGTGCCTAAATTAGTGTTTACAAGTTGGTGTGAGCTCTTTGGCAGAAGGATGCCAGGTGCAATGCATGGTCAGCATGGTATAAAATTGTGTATTTAGTTGAATAACTACAAAAGTGTAATTCTCAAAGACAGTTAAGACTCTTTTCTATATATATTATTGGAATAACTGGTAAGAAGGTGTCTGCCTGTTTGCTATTCCTGATTTATTTAAAAGGCTAGATTGCCAAGTATGGTGCTGCACGCCTGTAACCCCAGTACTTGGGAGGAAGCTGAGGCAAAAAGTTTACTGCAAGTTAGAGGGCAGCTTGGGCTGCATAGTGATTCAAAGACAGCTTCAACTTTTTGGTCAGACCTTGTCTCAAAAAGACAAAAAAAAAAAAAAAAAAAAAAAAGGGGGAAAGAAAAAAAAAAAAGGAAAAAACGCAGGACTTCAGGCATTTTGCTAATGTAACACTGTAACCTACATGGAAAAACAGAACCTCAAGGTTAGATTTTTTTTTTTCCCCCTTTGGAGTTCTTAGCTTTAAAATTCTTTAGGCCTGGTTGGTGCTATAACTCAGCAGTATAGCACCTGCTTGGCAAGCATGAGGTCATTTGATAAATAAATAAATTCATTCTTTAGGCCTACAGCATAAACTTGGCATCCCTATCTCTCCTCAGTCCAGATGAATGGACAGAATAAGCAGGTACTGGTACCAGGAGGTCTAACTCTAGCTTCATTTCCACAAGGAAAGGAAGGTGCGGGCAGGGTCTAGAAAGGAGTGAAGTAAGCCTGGACAGGCCTATTAGCTCATTGTATTCTCTCCCCAGCAACACACTTGTACATGGAGAAATGGTGACATGAATGCTCAGGCTCCTCCATCTCCTTGATTCTAGCTTTGAATAAATTCTTTTACCAAAATAAATGCCCCCCCTTTGCTTTGATAGGAGGCAAGCAAATGAACCTGAGCATATAAATCTAAGTGGCCAGTAATAATGTATAGAAATAAAATATGATAAGTCCCTCTGCTCAAAAATAGCATAAGTATACCAGTGTATACCAGTGTGAAAGATTAGCTAAGGGAAAAGAAAAAAATCAGATCAAAGATATAAAGTTGTGTGCAGTGGTACATACCTGTAATCCCAGCACTCAGGAGGCTGAGGCAGGAGGACTGGCATGAGTTTAAGACCAGCCTGGGATACATTCTGACTCGGCAGCTAGTCTGAGCTACATATTGAGACCCTGTCTCAAAAAATAAAAAATAAAAATCGAGTCAGGCATGGTGGGACATGCCTATAATGCCAGCACATGGGAGGCTGAGGCAAGAGGACTGTTGTGAGTTCAAGGCTAGCCTAATCTGTATAGTGAAACATTTTCTCAAAAAGACAAAAATAGGGGGCTGGGATTTAGCTCGGCAGCATAAGCGCCTGCCTTGCAACTGTGTGGTTGTGAGTTTGATCCCCAGTACCGATAAAAAAGAGAAAGACAAAAAAAAAAAAAAAAAAAAAAAAAAAAGACAAAAATAAAAATAGGCATTCTTGAAACTTGGCATGGGAATAGGAGAGTCTGTGGGCAGGGAGGAGAAATGAACAGGACTGATGAAAGGACAGAACAAATGCGAAGTTTCAAAGGTGAGACAACACAGGAAATGACTCAACCACAGATTAGGGAGAAATTCCAGTTAGATAAAGTGTAGGTGACAATGTAGGGACAGCTCAATTCTTACATAGAAACTCCACTACTATTTCTTCTTTTTTCCTTCTACCCATCATGAGTACCAAGTGCAATGTGTGTAGTCCACAACACATTCCAACAACAGAACATTTTACAGCTAATCCAGGCTGAACTCACTAGATACCTTGGCTAGTCTTGTACTTGTGATCCACCTGCCTTAGCCTTCCAGTGCTGGGATTACAGGTGTTGGCCACCAAGTAAGTATCTTGCCTGTACCTTTAATATTCAGTTTCAATCCATCTTCCTCCCTATTTTGTTTTTGCTTGAAGAAGGGTCTGGCTATGTAGTTCAGGCCAGCCTTTAACTTCTTTCGATCCTCCTTCCTCAGCCTCCGGAGTACTGGGATTACAGATAGGCATGCTCCACCATACTTGGTTTTTTTTTTTGTTTGTTTGTTTGAGACAAGGTCTCACTCTGTACTCTGGGCTGTCCTGAATTTGAGATCCTCTTGTGTTGGCCTCCCAAGTGAAGGGGCTCCAGGAACGTGCATATTATTTCACTCGAAAAACATTTAATAATCCAGTAAAACATCTGTAACTGTTTATTTAGGATTTCACGTTGTGGTCACAAAACTAAAAAAAATTTTTTTTGCGGTACTGTGGGGATTGAACCTAACCTACTTTGAAACAGTCTACCATTAATGGTAAATTGTGAGTTCATTCAGTTTTATAACATCAAGTTGTTGGTTTAACAAGCCTCCTTCAAAGTTGTCTTTTTTCGTTCTACTCATCATCCTCAGGATCTAAAGGATTTCAAGATCCCTTCCTCTTCTCCCCCCCCCCCCAAAAAAAAGAAAAACAATCGCTCTTGCTGCTCTATATCAAACTCACACAACACAACCCATCCCCCAAGAGGAAAGAGGGGAACAAGTTACGACAGGCAGCTGGGTGCACACAATCGGGGCCAGAGCCCAGGAATCAGTCACCACGTCCGGAAGGATCTGGGCTGTCTGCCAAAAGAGAACACCTCCCAAATCCCGGAAACCGGTGCTAACAAATCAGAGCTAGAGCAAGTGACAGGCAAAGAAACAGGTCCGACCCTTTGGGACTGCCTGAAACACGCAAGGAATGCAGGAGAAATGTTAGGAATCCAGGACAGACCGTAGCCAGAAACAAGCAGTGCTTAAAACCCAGATCCAAAGGCAGGCGCATCACCGAGAGACCGTGGTGTAGCAAGCAGCCCCTGAGGGATGCCTACAAGACGACACGGCAACGCGCAGCCCCATGCCGAGTCGCTCCCCAAAGTCTGAGTCTGAGTACCACAGTCTGTAATCTCGCCGCGCACCAGCACCGGCATGGGGGCGGGGAGAGGGCGGGGCCCTAGCTCTCCCCGCCCCCAGTGACGGCAGACTACGTGCCCAGTGCGCTTGCGTAGGGTGAGGCCGGACTCTATTTGGCTATCTAGCGAGTGGCGGCAGCGGCGTACTTTACCCGTCAGGCTGTGCGAAGCGGCAGCCCTACGTCTATCCCCTTCCCAACCCTGCCCCTTCCCCCGCTCCGCTGCTGCCCCCCTTTCCCTAAAGTGAGTGAGTGAGACGGGCAGATGGAGGAGGGACTGTAATGGCGGCGGCCGGCAGCTCCCTGCTCTGACCCACGGCAGGCACACAGCAACGACCCCCTCCCTCCCCGCCCCTCTCCCGGCCGGCCTCCGCCCGCCGTCGGCGCGGGGCCACCCTTCCCGGTCCTTGCCCTAGCAGTCGGCGTCTCGCCCTACGCCCCGGCCGGGGCCCCACACACAATGGACGAGCTTGCCGGAGGCGGTGGTGGCGGCCCGGGGATGGCAGCCCCTCCGCGGCAGCAGCAGGGACCTGGGGGGAACCTGAGTCTTTCGCCTGGGGGCAATGGAGCGGCGGGCGGCGGAGGTCCTCCGGCCTCCGAGGGAGCGGGTCCCCCAGCAGGCCCCGAGCTGTCCCGGCCACAGCAGTACACTATTCCTGGGATACTGCACTACATTCAGCACGAGTGGGCTCGGTTCGAGATGGAGCGAGCGCACTGGGAGGTGGAGCGGGCCGAACTACAGGTACCTGGCCGGGGTCGGTATGCAGGACAGTGGCCGCGGCGGGGTTCCCGGCCGGGGGGTGGGGCCGGGACTCCCTCCAGCCGGAGCCCGCGTCTTGGGAGGCCGGGGAGGACCTACCTCTGCGACTCGGGCGGTGACGGTCCCCGCGACGGCTCTTCCTCGAGTCCCCCTCCCCCTTTCCCGCAGACGCCTGTTCCCCAGCCCTCAGTAGCTACGCGGTGCGGGCTTCCTTGGGGCAGCCATTTTGACTTTTAGTATGGCGTCTGCGGGGGCTTCTCCGGAGGCGGCCTTCCCCGGACTCCGGGACTTGGGGCCGAGCTTTTTTCTGGGAGTCTGGCGTGGGGCAGAAGGGTACCGAGTTCGCTTTTGTGTATTTTTCTTGAGATCGGGAACCCGAGGAGACGGACTGCAGTGGGCATGTTACTACTTTTCCTGGACCCCCCTTCCGATTTGGCCTGTTTTGCCCCCCTCCTACGCGAGTTGGTACGCAGTTGCCCCTAGACAGCCGCGCTCCTTTCGTGGGCTTCTATGAGGCAGTAGAGTTTGCGGCAAACCTGTGAAGTTTTCACTTCCCATCGTCAACTCTTTGAGTACCTGCTCACCTGGGATGCTGCTTTATTTACGTAGAGTCCCTTTAGTTCCTCACTGACTTACCAACGCCATGAACACTGAATTTTTCTTTCTAGAGAGGGTACTCTTTAGACCTCCCTCCTTCAATTCTTTTTTTAATGGATACAAAGCCAAATTAGATTCTCTGCGCGGTATTTGTGAAAAGACTGAGAAGAGAATTAACATTAGTTTGAAGTATAGCGTTTTGTCCCTTACGATACCTACTCATGAAGCAAAGTTAAATGTACTTAGTAATCGAAGACTTGAGAACTCTGTAATTTTCTGTGTAGAGTGCTGTAGACCTCGTTGCTTTTAATGTGAACTTTTGATAGGCTGCGATACCTAACTTTGGAACACAGTTGTATAGGGCTTGTATCTTGGATTTCAAAATTGTTGCATCTTTTTGAAAGGATTATTGAACGTCATTTGTGTATATTTTTAAATTCCTTTCCGGCACAAATTTAAGCTTAGAGGAAAAAATATGCATCTAAATAGTATTGCACCTGTTCTTCATATTGCTTTATATTTAGGATGTAACTAGCATTTGTAAATTGTCTTATAAAACCGTGTGGTGAATAGTTAGGAACGATGGAATGTTGAAAGAAGAAAAATTGAATTCATGTAGGAAGACTATCCTTTAGTCTTTACAAGTTGATTTTTGAACTAGTAAACTTTTGACTCTATAAAGTGGGTCAAGTTAAACTTCTAAAAAGTAAAACACTTAATTACTTACCCCCATCCCATACTGGAGATTGAACCCTCGGACTGTCGCATAGAGTTGTGTCCTCTTCTTAAACTTTTTTTGAGACAAGATCTCACAAAGTCGCTAAGTTGTCCAAGCTGGCCTCAAATTTGAAATTCTCCTGCCTCCGCCTCAGCCTTTCAGAGTGCTGGGATTACAGACGTGCCTCACTAAAATACTTAGATATTTTCGTATGTTTGGTTAATTTAATATTTTGGAATTGTGGTTTGCCGTTCTGTTGGGCTATAAAAAATACACTTTTCAGTAATCTTAAGTCTACTTGTGTATTGTGTACTTGCTTGTGGCTTGTGTATATCCTACCCTAAAGTATGTAGTAAGATTTATATAGTTGCTGATATACAGCTTTCAAATACATTGCTGCAAACGTCAATTTCTGTTTGAGTAGAGAAGTTAGTACAGCATTTATTTTTAAAAATTGTGTTGGGGCTGTGGCTCACTAAATACATCATCAGTTTCTGAGAGTTCAAGCCTATATACCTTTTTTGCTTTTATTGTTTCCTGTTCACGATGATGGCAATAATAAACTTTCAAATCGACTTTACAAATGTAAGTTTGTTTGGTTTTTCTTTTTTCTTTTTGAGGTCTTCGTGTGCACTAGGCAGGTGCTCCATCATTAATCTGTATCTGTAACCCTTTAAAAGTTTTTTTTAAATTTCAAGACAGGGTCTCATTAAGGTGTTCACGTTGTGCTTGAATTTACTATCCTCCTGCCTCAGCAACACCTGTAACTGGGATTCCAGGTGTGCTGTACCATACTCAGTTGTTTTCTTTTTGAAGCTCTGGGAAACAGTAAGAATGCTCCATCTGGAGTTGAGAGTTTAGGAGATCACTGTGTAGCCTTGAATGAGCCCCCTGTATCACGGTGAGGTGATCCTCTTACCTTGGCCCCCTGAGTGCTTGGAAACACAGGTGTGTACCACCACACCACTGTGGATTTTAAAGTTTTCTCTTCCACTTATTCACAAACCTCCCTCGATAATCTGCACTTTTGTTCTATTGTTCCCCTTAACCTTTAAATGCTTAGCATTCCATTTTTTAAATGCCCATGACAACTGAATTTAATAAAATGTTTTCTTTACAAATTCTTGTTCCTTAAAAATTTTTAGGTACCATATGTAAATTTCATGTAAAAATTTAAATTTACACTCCAGGCATAAATGGGCTCATTTTTCTGAACATTTGTAGAAACTTTTTTTCCTCTTGATAAACCTTCAGATTGCTAGATCCTGTGGTCATGTACTTACTTAACCTGTACTTTGTACTGCTATTTCTTCTTTAGAATACTTTGCTTTGGCACCCTCTTTATTCCCCATTTTCCTTATGATCTGCTTATTACTTTAAAAAGTGTTTCTTGGGGGCTGGGGATTTAGCTCAGTGGCATAAGCACCTGCCTTGGCAAGCAGGCAGTCCTGAGTTCGATCCCCGGTACGGATAAAAAAAAAAAAGACAAAAAAAAAAAAGTGTTTCTTTTTCTTTGTTCCCAGTTATTAACTGGGGTTCTATTTTTCTTGTTTTCATTGTATATGTTGTCTGAAATCCAGTTTTTGGCAACTTTTTACTTTCTTAATAATCTGTAACTTTTATTGTTTGCTGTTAGTTTGGTGCTTTAGTGTTTGTCAGTTTAATCCTCAAAACAACCAAGTAAATTTGGCCCAACTGCCTCCTCTTTCTACTGAAACATTAAGGCTCCAGTGGTTAAGTAATCTGCCCAAGATCATGCAGTTGGAAGGCAGCAGAATCACTGGGATTTAAAACTAAACTGCCTCCCTCTAGAGGCTGCGTTCTTAGCCAGTACATTTTTGGCTTCCTGATGCCTGAAACACATTTCTAACTTCCTGTTTAACTTTTTTACCTCAAATTCAGTACATCTATTCAGTTGATTTCAAATGGTTGCCTCTTTCCCCTGACAAAATGCATTTAACTTGTTCATTCTTTATTGCCTGTTACTGTTAATGTTATTACTAGCTTTCCAAACATGAGGTACTAAATATTTCATCAGTGAGCCCTCACCTATTCAATATCTGAGTTTCATTGATTCTAGCATAATTATTTTTTCAGTGACTATATTTGAGTACTACTTTCTGCTGGGTACTGGGTATAACTATAAAATGAAGACCATGTTCTTATGGAGCTCGAAATAATACTATAGATGATAAATTAACCAGATGGTGAGAGAATAGTGATGGGAAACTTGTATATAATGGGGTTTTTAGTATTTGTGTTTATTAACACTTTTTTATCAAACCTTCATACTAGGCTACATCCACTCCTTTTTAAAAATTTTTTAAAATTTTGAAATAGGATCTTATTAAGTTGCCAAGGCTGGACTCAAACTTGATTTTTTTCTTTTTACTGGAAATAAAACTCAACCACATGCTTGCTAGGGAGGCGCTGTGCTGCTGAGCTGTGTTCCCTGCCCTGGACTCAAAATTGCAATCCTTATCTTCCCAGAATACTAGAATTCAGAATGCAGAGTTATCAGTTGGACACTATTGTAAGTTCTTCAATATGTACCTTATTTAATTCTTCTTCAAGCTCCTTAAAAGTATGCTTTTAGATTTCTTGGTGCTACTGGGGATTGAACCCCAGGGTCGCTCCACTGAGCCATCTCCAGCCCTTTTGGTTTTCATTTTCAGACAGAATCTTGCTAACTCACTAGATTGGCCAGGCTGAACTTCAGTTTTTGATCGTCCTGCTTTAGCCTCCCAGTGTGGTAGGATTACAGGCTTCCATCACCATGGCCAAGTAGATCTGAATATAAGAAATACCTGACTATTAAGAAAATTGTTTGGAAGCAACAGCAATAGAAGAAGCTCTAAACAGGGAAGAACTTTGTTGAAAGTATGTGAACTAAGCTGTAGTGATTCAAAGAATAGGCCAGGTATTGTATGTAGCTCCACTGTCCTAAAGTAGATTCTAATTAAGTAATTTTTAATTTGGGGAAGATTATAATCTCCTTTACATATACAGTGAGAGCTGTAAAGCTTTTCCTAGGTTTGTTGTTATTTTGTTTTCTCTTACAAGAGTAAAAATATTTTGCCTAGGTTGGGCTTGGTGGTGCATGCCAGTATTTCCTGCAGTCCGCACAGGCTTAGGAGGATTAGTTCAAGTTTGAGGCCAGGCCAGGTTGGGCTATATATGTGAGTTCAAGGCCTGCCTGCACTTCATAGCAAAACTCTCTCAAAACTTTTTTTTTTTTTTGGTCTAGACTGTTCATGACGCCTGATCCACCACTCACCTAGGGAAGTAACCGTAATTTAATTTCTTTTCACTTTACTATTACTACTCTTCTAGTTCAGGGTATTTCTGTCTTCTGAATTTTCTGGGATAATTTGTTTCTTCCATCCAGTCCTTCTTTTTTAAAGTTTATCCTTTAAATAGTATTATGTATGATGTTGTTTTAATATTTCATTATGGAGAATTTCAAATGTACATAAATCACATAGTATTGTGACTCACCACAATCTGTAACTCGTCTTAAATAGTAACTATTCATGACCAATTTTATTTTACCTGGTCTTTTACCCACTGCTTCTCATCCCAAATTACAGTGGTACGTCGGTTCATGAACTTAATTTTTTCAATGACTTCGAAAGACGACTGCAATATTGTTGTGTACCAGATTAAGGCAAATTAGGAGTTTATTTATTACCCAAATTCAGTGTCCAGATTTGCAGTTTTTCCAGGTTGCTTGAATAAGGAACCAAATAACTCATTATGATTGGGACCCTTTCCATTTTTGTCAGGTGTGTGTTATGGAAATCAGGCCAGCATTCCTTTTTTTTTTCCAATGTACATGAAATCCAATGGCCAGCATTCCTTTAAAAGTTTCTAGAATCTGGGTTTTGCAGACACTTCCCAGTTGTATGGTTTAATATGTGTTTGTTTTTGAAACCTTTGTTGAATCTAGATGGTTGATCAGAATTGGTTTATTTTTTCTTTTGTGAGAGAGAGGTGGAAGGCTAGACTTTCCCAGGTGATGTTGTGGTCTTCTATCAGAAGGTATATAACACTGGCTATCTTGTGATGTTAGCATTTGTTTGATGTTAGTGGTTAGGTATACTCATTCAGTAGGACCACATGCAGTTTTAAAAATCTTTAGATGCGAGATGTGGTGGTCCATTCCTCAGCCCTAGCATTTGAGAAGCTGAGGTGAGAAGATTTGACTGTATAGTGAGATACCATCTCAAAAAACCAAAACCAAAAACAACAACAACAAAAAAAGTTAAGAAATTGAAATACAGCTGGGGAT